GTACGAACATATTTACTTAATACAATATTTTTAGTTGTACATATCAAATAAATGCAATAAAAAAGTGTATTTTTTTTTAAATTATGTGTGGCATGCTGCGGGATTGGTTTTTGGTGTCTTAAAGTCATAGATGTGTTGTTTTCTCCATTTATTTTTTGTTTTCAATTCGACATTGATAGATATTTTTGCTTATAAAGAATTTTGATTAAGACCCTCCTAATTTTATTAGAATTTTATTCGTTCATATATTCTTGAGATTAAACGCAAAGAGGAATGAATTTTTAAAAAAATTTGTTTCTTGTCTTTATTTACGATAGCTCGTATGTTTCTATTGCTGTCGGCATATGTATATGTATAAATTTGTAATGTATAAATCTTTTTAATCAAGCTCTGACGATGTTGAAACATTCAAACTCAAAAGCTTAGCATAAAACTAATGTTTTGTTCCTGTTGATGTAATAAACCAAGGACGAGAATTCATATAAGCATTGGACAATATGCCATTGCCTTTCAAGCGTAAACTGTGGATCTTGAACACTGTTCCAAGGAGATAAAAAGTCTGGGGATTGTCAATATACGAATAGCCTTCTATTCGGACAGCCAGCCATCTTGGAAGGCAATTGCCGCATCGACGGTAAAGTCCCGAGTCATTTGGGATTAGAGCTCTGTCAGACATTGTGGAAGATAAAAAAAATTACCCTTGTCTGGGTACCAGGGCTTCTAGGGACAACGAAGAGGCCGAAAAGTTGGCCAAGTTCAAAGTGGACACGTATTGGCCCTGAACCCTTGTGGCTTATCAAACTGTCAAAAACGCGGATCCATTAGACAATGGATTAATAATAAATCCTCGGGTCAATGGGAATGTAGCACTAGAAAAGAGGTATGTCAGAAAGTTTCTCAAAGGAGATTTATCGGGAACGTTTATTGCAGAAACTACAGAACTACGAATATTTGACGACTCTGTTCTTACTAAACCCATAAAACAAAAAGCCTACGTAGCAAAATTGCCAATCCTCTTTTCAGACGGGCATTTCAGATCCCTTTCATGTAAATGTCCTCCGTTGTACGTTGTTGTTTCAATTTTAATATAAACAAAATTAACTGTGATTAAAAATTAGTTATTTTTATTTAAAAAATTAATTTTAATGGTTTGGTAGAAAATTAATCAAAACACCGGAATACGATTTTCTGATATAATGAATTTAACTAACAATTTATTACAAGGTTTTGCTCAAAATAGTGCATTAAGAACAAAAGATGCGTTGCGATTGTGGTAGTGATTATTGTGACAAACGCTGTGGACTGTACGCGACGTGTGCTTGCGTCGGATAGATGTGCACACCCCACCAAAACGTGGCAAGGCGTCGGGTAGCGTCGCATGGCGTAGTATCGGGAAAGTGTGTTCCCGGCTTAAATGTTTATCACAGGCCCATAAGTCATCTTGATTCCTATTGCATAAGAAACTTGCCCTAGATGGAAACTTATTTAATATGTCTGAGAGTGCCAGAATTTCCTCTGCCCCGTTTGCTTGCTGGTTTGTAAAAATGTGAGTTGCTTCCTCTCAACTGTAATCCAACAAGAGATAACTGCCTCAATCAGTGTTCCCTATGCAATAGAAAGGCCAGAGAAGCATTTCTTAGCAGAGTGTCTGATTCTGGCAGAATTCAGATTGAGACACTTAGGTCTGTCCTCATTAACAAGAGAATTTACAATCGCCTCATTAAATAATTCTCAGTGTTACAACTTAGTAAACTTTGTTAAAGAAAACTGGAGTTAAAGGAAAGGATAGACTTCATATTTTAATTATTAAAGCTTTTTTATGTCACTTAATATTATATTTAACAGGTATATTTTTCCTAGAGATTACTAATGAGATGCCCTGCTCAAATTGTTAGAACACAGAGTAAATAAGTTTAATAATAATAAGTCCATTACAGTTCGTGGTCCGATTGACCAATTAAAATTTTTCAATTAATTAATATTTATGAAAGGTATTGGTCGAGAGAAAAAAGTCAGGGTAACGAGCGGGATTCGAACCCACGATCTTCGGCTAAATACGCCGCTGCTGTACCACTTGAGCTATCCGGACACTGACGTTTTTATCTCAACCAATACCTTACATAAAGATTAATTAATTGAAACAAATTGAAAAAACGGTTCGAATCCCGCTGTGACTGACTTTTTTATCTCGGCCAATACTTTTCATAAATATTAATTCATTGAAAAATAATAATAATGTTTGTTAAAAAAGAATATTAAAAAAACTTCCTACCCCACCCCTTCAAAATCCACATAAAACAACAGTATCTCACTGGCACTCTCAACACGACACGCAAAAATGGCACAATTACGCAGAAAACAAACACCGAGTAAGTAGAAATACTTTGATAGAAATATTAAAAAATAAATTTTTTTGCATTGTATAAATTCACTTTTTTCCACATCCTACATGTTTTTGTTAAATTTAAACAATGTTTGTAAATCCCAGACCTTGAAGATGATCTCAATAAAGATCGAATCGTTGGCACGATAAAAAAAAATGTTTTTCTGAAACCTACATCACACCAGACCGCATCTCACGATTTCTGAATAATCATCGACTAACGGTCACTATTCACCACACATTAAAAAAAAATTTTTGCCCCTTTGTCCGGCAGACGGTTGTCATACATAGCCGTAGTGTGATTTTATTTATTTTTATAACTTCACTTTCTTTAAACTAAATATATAATTGAATTCAGTACATTTTCATTTCATTTCATAAAACCACGATTTTACGGCATTTTACTCTATCTACCGTCTACTACGACTCAATTTTTTTATCCCATAGTGCGGTCGGTAAGTTTTAGAGTAGGTTTTTTTACTACCCGTGTGCGTTTGTATGCACGGTTTAATATTTCTTGAAGTAGAGACCTTCACCAAGGGTGAGTAGAGATGTCTGTTGTGGAAGACGCTGCATGTCACATTTCATTAATATGGTGGTAAAGTTATAAATTAAGTTTCAAATAAAAAAAATTATGGCATAAATCACAAAACGTGGCCTTAAAAAGTTTTGACTTTTTCCAGGATATTATAAAGCATTGCCTTTTAATACATGGAACTACAAAAGTTTAGGTCAATTACTTATATTAAATATTTTCATCAACATGTCTATGTATTTTTGCTTTATATTTACAAATAAAAGCATAGTACATTCTAAAAAATACCCGCAATAAGAACCAATCTGCGTTGTTGTGTCTCTCAGACCCACAATGACCTCCTTTCAGATCTGAATATTTATAAAACTACACCTCTTGATGTCAGACTTAGTAAACTTAACTTTACACGTGTTATTAGACTTGGGGATAGCGGTGGCCGAGTGGTTAGGGCGTCAATATAACCATTTCTTAGCTCTTGTACACAGCTGGAAACTTCTCCAGAATTGCAGAGACCGAGAAAGCGAAAATGCAAATCCGACTGTGGAAGATAAGACACGTAAAACACTTCTAATCTGCCGACGACTGTAAAAGGGTCTGATTTAAAGGGGGCTCATAAAAACGAGTCCAAGCTGTTTGAAAAATAAAATTCAACGAGATTCAAACAACAACGTACAACGGAGGACATTTACATGAAAGGGATCTGAAATGCCCGTCAGAAAAGAGGATTGGCAAGTTTGCTATGTAGGCTTTTTGTTTTATGGGTTTAGTAAGAACAGAGTCGTCAAATATTCGTAGTTCTGTAGTTTCTGCAATAAACTTTCCCGATAAATCTCCTTTGAGAAACTTTTTGATATAATGAATTTAACTAACAAGGTTTTGCTCAAAATAGTGCATTAAGAACAAAAGATGCGTTGCGATTGTGGTAGTGATTATTGTGACAAACGCTGTGGACTGTACGCGACGTGTGCTTGCGTCGAATAGATGTGCACACCCCACCAAAACGTGGCAAGGCGTCGGGTAGCGTCGCATGGCGTAGCATCGGGTAAGTGTGTTCCTGGCTTAACGCACTATAGAGCGACACACGACTAAAAACGGTTTGAATTTGCTGTTGACAGGTATGACCTGCGGTATGAAGTTCTGCCATACAGAATTCACAGCAAATTTACCTGTTTGGATTTTCCTTTTGAAATGTAGGTTAAGGGAAAGTGGGGGGGGTTGAAAATTATTCCCAGATATTTATATTTATTTACTATTTCGATGGGCGCTCCTTTGAAGTTCCAACTCTCATTGTCGACAAGTCTGCCACCTCTTCTGAAGACCGTCATTTTGGACTTTACTGAAAAATTCCAGTTGCCTCCAACGCATTGATATTTTTTTGCTTTTTTGCCAGGATTACAACATCGTCGGAGTATAATAGAATGATTATTCAGAATTCGTGAGATGCGGTCTGGTGTGATGTAGGTTCTGAAGAATCATCCACTAACGGTCCACTGTCCTACCAGATCCCTTTTGCCGCTTCTGCGAAATAAAAGAAGAAACGGCAAGGCACTACCTCGCAGAGTGTGATAGGTACGCTAGGTCTAGATTTGAAATCTTAGAAGGAGNATATATATATATAAAACGGTCCTCTGTAAATTCCATATTGAAAACAGTCAGGGAGATCATCCAGGAAGAGTGGAAACAATAACGGACTCAGGCTACAACGTGGTTTTATAACTGGATAAGATACAATTTGGAAAAAACGGACAAAAATTTAGATAGTTTTTGAAGTATACGTTAAATTGTGCTTGTTTTGATAATACGCTCGATTTTTAATTTATCTTTCCATTTTATCGATTACGAAGCAGCAATCTTATTTTGGAAGGTAGAAAATTCTCGAGCGATTAGTGTTAAAGGGAAATGGGCGAAAGGCGAGCAGCCGGGTTAACGACAATCCATCTCAGACTCTTATCTCTCCCTTTTGAGCATAGGCACGGCAAAACCCAATAAACGAGCAGGAGCGTCAGGGCCTGTTTTCTTCTTCGTCCCTCTCAAAACAAGCTGAAATTTAATTTTGTACAAACTGCTTGATTTTGTTTACAGCACAATGCAGAAAGGCTGCTCAAGCTTATCGAGACCGTGTACAGGTGGCTTCCACTGGGGACCCTCGTTAACAACAAGGTGCTCATCGTGCATGGAGGCATATCCGACAGCACGGATATCGAATGGCTTAAAACGATCGACCGGCAGAAGGTGAGGTCACAATTATATCTTGAACTGTGTTTACAAATGTTTTTATTTTCTATAAGAGAAGGCTCAATTATCAATTTTGAAAGAAAGAGTCAAACTGATCTATAGGAGAGGAAAGGATCAAACCGCCCCTTATTTTCTTTGACAAGGGGAAACAACGACTAAGTAGGAAGATCGCTCGAGTACGGGACAAAGCCGTCAACGTAGCATTTTGAATCGACATCCTTTTGAAGACGCTCTACAGATCCGAATGACGATCGATGAACCGGGCCAAGGGTTGCTGGAAGGAATGGTAAGCCTAATTGGATGCTGTCCCAGGGCAATACATCAACGCCAACCACTTCCAGTCCGACTTCTATTCGGACTATTGCCAAAAAAATGCCGCTGGCCTGGGTTTGACGGACTGGTCCGTTGTTTTTCCGCTGTTGATCGCTCTTTGGTCGTTACATAGACTTTCCCTTTTATTAATCCAAAGTTTAAAAAAAAATGATGGGGAAAATTTGGACTTTTTGAGCCAAGTTTTGCCACATGCACACAAAGTTTTTGTAAAAAAGCATAAACTTTTTGCATTTTTAAATCTTGTACATAGTGCACAATACATAGTAGCAGAATAAAAAAATAATAATGAGTGTCCAATTAAAACTGCGAAATATAAGAGCCCTTTTTTCTCGATGTTTCTTATCCCAGTTTTTATGGTATGTAATTTTGTAAATTTAAGGGTTGATGGGACATTGATTTGAAAAATTTGGTAGACTAAAGGAAAAATTACGAGGAAAATAGGGGCGGTAGAATGGATTCTATTCTATTCGTTTTGGATAAGTTTTGGTTTGGGTAAAATGTATCCTGCGGATCCTTTGAAATCAAGTCAGCATGCAAAAATTATAACAAACTGCCCATAACTATAACAAGATGTCAAAAATCTTGTTAAGAACTTTTAGAACAAATACGCCGCTGATCTACCACTTGAGCTATCGTGACCTCGATCCACTCGGACACTAACTTCCTATCTCAACCCCACCTTTTGAATTTTCACTCCTTTTTGCCATTTTTCAAATGTCGTGTAATCGGATTGGATTCTCGACGACAAATTAAATGGCCATGATTTAAATGAAGTATACTTCACTAAAGCTCTCCGTGGCCATTTCATTTCGATTTTTGGGCAAAAAAACGAATATTTTACATATTCGTGGAAAAACCGATCATTCCCTCTCCCAATTTGAAACAATGCATATAATTCATTAGTTTTCGAGGTCCGCTTGACCAATTAATATCTTTCAATTAATTAAGGTTTTTAGTTGAAATAAAAAAGTCAGTGTCACGAGCAGTATTCGAACCCACGACCTTCGGCTTGATACGCCACTACTCTATCATTTGCGCTATTGTGACTTCGATCAACTCGGGTACTAACTTCCCATCTCAACCCCACCTTTTGAATTTTCCCTCCTTTTTGCCATTTTTCAAATGTCGCCGTTTGTCGCCGAGAATCAAATAGATTACACGACATTTGAAAAATGGCAAAAAGGAGGGAAAATTCAAAAGATGGGGTTGAGATGGGAAGTTAGTGTCCGAGTGGATCGAGGTGCTCAAGTGGTAGAGCAGCAGCGTATCTAGCCGAAGATCGTGGGTTCGAATCCCGCTCGTGCCATTGACTTTTTTATCTCAACTAAAAACCTTAATTAATTTATTAACGTTAAAGAGGGGGGTTATTATTCGACTTTTCCACTGAAGTCCATTAAATTGCTTATGAACTTTACAACTTTTGATTCTATAAAAATCTGGTTTGTGTCAGATTACAGAACGTTAAATTTTCGGTAAGAAAACCTGCAGAATCGGTGAAAAAATGCTGCAGGAATAATTCAGAAAAAACAAAAATGTTGAAATTTGGAATTTTTTGAAAATGTTCGATTGGTAACTGTTAATAAACTACAAACTCCTGGAGCTTTGCAAATTCCCTCAAAAGTTCTCCATTCAATTAGCTTCCAGCTGTATACTCACCTTTTTGGATTGCGCTGGAAGGCTCAAAAATTTTGTATTTTGTTGAGAAAAAAACTAGCGTGGATGAAGGGAGGTACGCTCAATTTTTCCAAGAAATCCGTATGTCACTTGAGTTTCGTGTCAGTTCTTTACTGTTCCATTCAATCAGTTTGCTTTCTGTTATCAGCTGACAATGTCCTCAGGTTTGTGATTTAAATTATGGATTTGTTTCCTAATGCACATATTGACGTTTCATCATTTCTTTTGCGGTTGACAGTAATGCTATTGCTACAAGGAGAGAATACCAAGCTCGTTTTCCACATTGAGACTTTTCAACTTTCCTACGACTTGATCGGAGACTGAGGGAAATCGGTTCTTTTGAGAGAATTTGCAAAGTTCCAAGAGTTTGTAGATACTAACAGCTACTATCCAACATTTTCAAAAAATTCCAAATTTCAACATTTTTGTTTGTTCTGAATTTTTCGTGCGGAATTTTTTCATCAATTCAGTAATGTAAAGGTTTCCTTACAGCAAATTTAACGTACTTTCGGGTGGCACAAACAAACCAGATTTTTCTATAGTCAGTCATTCTGAAGTTTATAAGCAATTTAGTGGACCAAAGTTGAAAAATAAAGGACAAACCCAAAACCTGAAACTACTCCTTTACCGTTGAGATTTGGAGAGGGATTTACAGGAAGTTTTTTGTTGCATGCAAAAACACCTGAAATTTCCGACACTTATCGCCAGTCACTCTCTCTCTCTCTCTCTCTCTCTCTCTCTATATATATATATATATATACATACACATGTTCCTACCAACTTGGCGTCCCCTCGAAGAAATTTTACATTTAAACCGGCGTCCAGGGCAAAACAGCGTCCGTATATAGACGCCGATTCGCGTCGGGAAACAAAGAAAAACTATTAAGACCGTGTAAATAATAAATTATAATAATAAACAATTAATTTTAATTGTAATAATTATTATTTTTTTAACTTTACGAAATGTATAAATTTAACGATTGTAACATTCAATTATGAACAATAAATAATAATAATAATTTGTAATACTATCATTAGGCATTAATTGCCGAACGTCAATGAGTAATGAGAAAATTCGGCATTTTGTATGTCCGTTTGTTCAGCGATACAGGATGCAACATTACCCAGGCCAAGAAGTGGGATTCGGAGAAGTAAGGAAAAAAACAGGACGCCAAATGGTGTCATTATGGATAGCAATCGTATATGATGGACTCCAGTTATCAATGGGCATAAAAGGAAGGAAGTATGATAGCACATCTGAAAAATGTATATATCCAATTTGCGGTAATAAATGAATTCTGACCTGATTAGCGCTATCGATGTAACTAAACAGAAAATCGGTAAGAGAAAAAATTTGAAAATCGTCGTTCTTTCTGGTGGACGCCAATTGGCGTACTCCTATACGGAGTTCCAGTTGATAGCAAGATTTTTATATATACAGGGTGAATTGCTACTCGTGCTACAAACTTCTCCAGTAGATTCTTCACCCTAAAATGAACAAAANAACTACATAAGTGTTGTTTTTATTCCACTATATATTTTTGAAATATAGTATTTATTATTTGTAGTGCATTGAAATTTCGTACTGCTGTAATTGATTTTATTTTTCTTTACTTTTTTGATTTTGTAGTATATTATTACTATTTAAATTTAATGGTTAGGGATGGCTAGGTTATTTAAATATAATTTTCTCGAAAATCTCATGCCTAGTTTTAAATGAAATACGTATTGTAACAAATTTCTTTTCTTCCAAAAACCCTCCCAATCCGATATCTGTAAATAGTTTCCGGACAATTTTTCTTTGCTTAGTTATTCCATTTTCTCTTTTTGTTTTATTTTATTATTATACTTTTTATACATAAAAATTATATGCAGGTTTGAAGTAAATAAATAAAACATACAGTATTTAATCGTTATATGGTCATATTTCTTCTTATTAAACCACATTTTTGCTTTTTGCCTCAGTTATTTTTCAAATTTTCACTCTCACCTCTTTACCATAAATCAAAATTAGTTCAAATAGTAGTTAAGAAGTAGACATCGCGGTACGTGCTGTAACTGGCGAGTTAAGTGCCTATTTACATGGCCCCCCGAGGGCCTGAGCCGTAGGCGAGGAATCGTCCTTACCTGATTGAGGATAGGTCATGCGCGGTTGACACACGTCACCCGCACTTGGGCCAAAGTCCGCGCAGGTGCCTCTTCTCAGGAAAAAGGTTACTCAATTTATCCCACATAACAGAAGCTTGTCACAGAGACCGCATACGCTCGAATTTAAGAATGGTTAAGCCACGATAGCGAGTTTCTGGTTATTTATTAGTAGTGAGGGGTGATGGTGTAATATAGTGCTACCATTCTATTTATTCGTGCAACTGACCTATGAATTTAATTAGTATTAGGCTAGATTATATTGGGTTGTCCGGAAAATAATGCAGGATTTTGGTATTAAACAAAAAAAAAGAAACTAGTTACTTTAAAGCAATGTTCTTTAATCAAAATAATTTCCCATACTCTCAATACATTTCTCCCAACGTCTTGGTAACTTATTAATTCCGTCTGAGTAGAATTCAGAATTTTTAGAATTGATAAAGTCAATAAATGCATTTTCCAGTTCCGTTTGATTTTTGAATATTATGTGTTGTAAGTAGTTGTCCAGGTGTCTAAAAAAATGGTAGTCAGTAGGCGAGAGGTCCGGAGAGTAGGGTGGGTGAGGCAAAGTTTCATAGCCAAGCTCCAATAATTTTTGTGACGTTACACGTGACACATGTGGTCGAGCGTTGTCATGCAACAAAATGGGCCCTTTCCGATTGACCAAAGAGGGCTTCATTACTGCCAATTTCTGATGCATGGTATTAATTTGGTTACAGTATGATTCAGCATTGATGGTTTCGCCAGGATTTAAGAAGCTGTAGTGTATTAAACCAAATGAAGCCCACCATACCGTAACCATTACCTTTTTTTGATGAGTTGGGGGCTTTGGAGCTTCTCCTTTGTCGAGCCACTGTCCAGAACGTCTAGTGTTATCGTAGAGAATCCACTTTTCGTCACATGTAACAATTCTGGCCAGAAATGGGTCATTTTTGTTTCGACAAAGAAGTGAGGCACAAACATCAAAGCGCTGATTTTTTGGCGATCGTTTAATGAGTGTGGAACCCAATTTTCGAGTTTTTTCACTTTTCCAATCGCCTTGAGGTGGTCAGCGACGGTCGTTTTACTGACTTTGAGTTGCTCTGCAAGTTCTCGAACAGTTGTTTTGGGGTTTTCTTCCACCACTGATCGCAGAACATCATCATTAAGAGAGGAAGGCCTTCCACGACCTTCTTCATCATCAAGGCTGAAATCTCCCTCCCGAAATTTTTTAAACCACCTTTGCACAGTGCACTCATTAACACAACCCTCGCCCCAGACTTGGTTAATGTTTCTAGCCGTTTGGGCTCCGCTTCGGCCGAGTTTAAACTCGTAAAAGAAAATCGTACGAAATTCTCGCTTTGACATTATAAGGATGACTGAATTATTTCCAAGTAGCGGAATGCTACAGAGGTAAACAAACAATATCATTTGCATTCATACAAATGAGTAATCCTGTAAACGTAAACAGAATATTTTATATAGATTTTTTTTAATGAAAACTTAAAATCCTGCATTATTTTCCGGACAACCCGATAGTTTGCTTGCGTTTGCGGCTGAAATGACTTAGCTGACAGGCCTCTTCGAAGCATAACCCTGTTGGTTGGGAACCACTAGGTCTTCTCTACATGTGTCCCGCTTCTAGGCCCTTATAAGAGCTGTGCAGGTAACGGCTGGCTTTCACTGCCTAGTGGTTTTGGCTCAAATTCCCCCGCCGGAACTTTGCGGCGCCACAATGGCGCCCCCAGGATGGGCCACGCGGAGGCGTCCGGCTGGGACATGGGGGAAGAGCGATGTGTCTAGCATAACTATGGACATAGTGCTTGGACGGTGCTTCATGTTAGGTACTGCGTTTTAGGCGGGCCAGCCTTTTTGGGGCATTACGGCCTTCCAAAATTTTTGTGTGGCCTTATAACCATCCGGGTTTGCAATGACGCCTTGCAATGAGCTTACGTTTGCTACCTCTCTATTTGTTTCAAATAGCCATCTCGTCCGGGGAATACAATACATTTCGCACGATAGGGCAACATGGTCTACTGTCTCTTGGTTCCCGCAGGGGCATAATGGGCTGGAGTTCAGACGGAATTTGTACAGCTTGGCCGCAAAATCGCCATGCCCCGTCAAGAGCTGCGCCATGTAGTGGTCCACCTGCACGTGCTTGGCTGCAATCCTGCTATTCACGTTGGGAAATAATTGGTACGTGTGCCTGCCTATGGTTGATCTATCCCACCGGCGCTGCCATTCTTCACGCATCCATCTATCCGCATCTCGTGCATTCGTTACTGGGATGCTGGGCTGTCGTCCGTTTGCCAATTCCCAGTCGGCTGTTACTGCCCTTGCCTGCAAGTCAAGCGGTGGCCTTCCTGCTATGACCTGTAGGGCATCAGTTGAGGTCGTTCGGTATGCCTGCGTTATGGCCAACAACGCCGTTCTTTGTGCGCTCAGAAGTATTGCCCAATCGGCTGCCCTCAGTCCGCGCGCCCACGCGGGGGCTGCATACAAAAGGACTGATTGGCACAACGCCGAATAATAAATTTACCTGCTTGTAAGAAAGGCCCCACGCTGCGCCACACATGGCCCTTATGGCAGCAACACGGGCTGGAATTTTATCCCTAACATATCTTGCGTTGGCGCCATACCTCAATCCGGCTGACATCCTGACGCCCAGGTAGGTCATCACAGTCGGCGTCTTGATGGTTTGCCCTCCGATTCTTATAACGGGTGGCGACCGCATGTTGAGGGACCCCTTTAGCAACATCAGTTCCGTTTTTTCCGGTGCCGTTGGTTGGGAAGCGTCGATCTCCTGGGCATCTGGCTTAAGGGGGATATTGCATCCCAGCCACGGGTTGAGTGAACTCGCATCATGGAGTGACAACACTTCACGGTTAAAGTCCTGTTAAAGTAGAAAGGGGGCGACTTTAAGGTAAAGTGCCCGTGTTCGAATCCAGCGGCACTGAATTCGAACCCGTCATATTTACATTGGACTGGACAGGAGGTGTTTTATACAAATTTGAACTTATTCTTTTTGGTCATTTACAATAATTTACACGTCATGGGAAACATTTTAGTCAATAGAACCATCGAAACCGAACAAATCGTTGCCGTTTTTGACAAAGGGTCTAAATTACCGAACCAACGAGGCGTTTAGGGTCTATTCACACAGGAAACGAGCACGATGTTCAATTTCGATCACTCGAATGTATGTCAACGTCTAAGCACTACCATCCCAAAAGTTATTTACCGAACCGTGCTATCTTATTAAAGAAATGACATCCGAAGTAAGGCTAAAGTAGGTCGGCAGAGGGAACACCGCACAATGGCCATGGATTAAGGCCGGCTGATAAGTCCTATACAAATCTCCATCCGTGATCCTAGTCATGACAAGGCCCAGAGCCAATAAATTCACACTCAGTGAATAGAATCGATGATAGTTTATTGAAAGAATTGGCACAGGAAAGAACAGATTATTTTGTCGACTATTTGCACTTACATTTTTGTAAGGTAGACCTACGAGTACCTACCACAATCTTCAAAATTAAACCAATTATCTTTCCAGTTCCATGACATCTGTATAAACATAATTTATTTATAATAATGATGCTTATTAATATCGTTATAACCATGATATTCTTAAGTGATACTGAACTGCTGAAATCACTTAGCATTTTTTTCCAGTATCTATCTCTTCTGAGGCCCCCGGTGATAGATGGTGTTGTTACAACATCAGAAAATGTAAACAAATTAGAATGGAAGCAGGTAAGATTAATGCAAATATATATTTGATATTTTTAAATATTTATTTCTGATTATAATTTTAGGTTTTTGACATCCTTTGGTCTGATCCGCAGCGGAGTGATGGCTGTGTTCCTAACTCATTAAGAGGCGCTGGAACTTATTTTGGGCCTGATGTGACCGAGAAATTTTTAAATAAGCACAATTTGCTGTACTTAGTGCGATCTCATGAGTGCAAACCTGACGGTTATGAAATTGTTCACGGCGACAAGGTCAGAAATTGTACACCAATCTTGTCAATCCTTAATTTTTTTTTCCTTCAGGTTATAACAATATTTTCCGCTTCCAATTATTATGAGACTGGTTCAAATAAAGGGGCTTATCTTAAACTAGTTGGCCCTGAGCTGAAACGACATTTCGTCCAATTTACAGCCGGGCCTAAAGCGAGCACTGCCGGCATGTTGACATTCCGGCAGAGGGTGAGCCTGATCGAAACTTCAGCAATCAGGGAGCTCGTTTCTAAAGTGCATAGTTCGAAGAACAAACTCTTGCAAGAGTTCGCCCTCGTAGACCCAAATGCTACAGGTTTGTCAGTATAAAAAATATTAAAATGATTTTGCTTAATAAAATTTATTTTTAGGGCTAATAAATGTAAGTGATTGGTGCATTATTCTTGAAAAAATCACGGGACTGAGCTTACCTTGGCGCATGTTGAGGACAAAACTGGCAACTCTTGATCCAACAACTGGTCTAGTACAATACATGACAACATTTCAGGAAAATATTACCAAAAGAGAGGTAAATATACACATTTCTAAGTGGGTTAGTGTTATTTATAATCACATCTGGTGTATAATACTCAAATTTAAAATAACATTTTAGTTTTTAAATAATTGACTTAACGTTTATAAATTTATTAAAGCAAAAAGGTTTGTCTAATCACCAGTAGTACTTCAGAATCAAAACAAAAGACATACATGAACCAAATCTGACCACCTTTAAAATTAATTTTTTAAAACATGACATATTAATTGAACAAACTCTTTTAAGTCTATCCTATCATCTTTATCTTTGTCCACACTCATGAATATTTCTTTGAGATTATTCACCAAGATGTCTTCGCCAAGGTATATGATTGCTGTCTTGGCCTCACAGAAGTTTAACAGACCATCACAATTTTTATCAAATATAGAGAATGTTTGCATAATTTGCTTCTTACTCTGATCGACATATCGCTTTTCCAAATGAGACATCAATTCGTCAACCGAGATGTACTGATCCTTATTTTGATCAATCTTTGAGAAAATCTACATCATAAAAAAAAAAACACATTTAATTATACAATTGCATTCGGTCTTGAAAAGTTCGATTAAACTCACATTATTCAAGTCAGTTATGTTACAATCTGTTCCTATCACCCATTTAGCGAAGTTTGTAAATTCCCATCGATCAAGTTTGTTATCATCATCTCTATCAAATCTAGAAAAACAACCATGGATTAAATTCTGTTTGATTCGCATTCAACGAGGTGTTTACTTTAAAAAACATTGGTGAAATTTCTCCACTTCATCTGGGGAAAATTCGGTGCCTTCTGCACACTTCGACTGTTGCCTTTTGAATATTCTTGGTAGTGATAAAATTGTCCTGGTGTTTACTAAATGACTGTGTAACATTCTGCACTATGAGCTTATTAATAAAGCTTTGTTGTGTTGTATTAAATGTGAAGAGAGAATTTTACATTGAAAACAAAATTGCGTGTTCTGACTTTCAGTAGCTTTTGTTTATAACATGTGATTATATTTAAATATGAAATAAAGCAAAAATTTCATGATGGATAGTTAAAAATTACATTTGGACAATAACAACCCTGGCCCTCATTAACCTCATTTAGGTAACCTAAATGACATAAATGAGGTTAATGAAAGCAATCTTCTTGAAATGTAAATTTCCTCTGCATTAGTTCTACAACATTACATTTTTTATCATTCTCAATAAGCAATTCAAATATAAAAATCAACATTTTAATTGGACATTTGATTTTATTAAATTATAAATTAACATTATTAACTATACTATCTCACCTATCCTGACATCCAAATAAACTTAAATTTTCTGGAGGTTAGGATGGTTTAAAAATTAAATTGAAATAAAGTTTTGTAGTTTTTCTCATGAATATTGAATCACTTTTATTGTATATTTTTAAAATGTACAACTGGAGGCTTTGATGATATAAAATCTGATTGTACTCTTCAGCCATGAAACATTGTACTTAATTAAATCTTCCCTGTTGAAATAGTACTGAAGCTAAAACAAATTAAAAAATAAAGCTTATGTTATGTGACCTTTATTTTACAGTGCAATTCTCTACAAATAAACCCGATTCGGATCTGACCATGGTAGTTATATCCAATTTTCAGTTTGACTTCTTCACATGTTGACAGACAAATTTGAGGAACTCGGGGAATGTCAGTTGTTCATCCTGATCCGTGTCGACAAGATCATATTTGTACCGAATACTATCGGCCATGGTGTTTTCGCCGAGATAGAAGAGTGCCTGTTTCGTCTCCCACCAGTGGATCAGGCCGTCTGCATTTTTGTCGAATATATTGAACGCGATAACCATCGACTGTTTGCTCTGTTCTGTGAAGCGCAAGCCTAAATGGACCAGCAGTTCGTCCCAGTCGACGTACTCGTCTTTATTTTTGTCCACTTTGCAGAAAATCTGCAAAAAATGGTTAAATATTTTGATAAAGAGGAATGTTAAAATAGGAATTTAATTCGGGGTTTAACTTTACTTTATTTAAATCAGTGCTGTAGTAACTTCTCCCAATAAAATGTCTGCAAACGTTGTTAAATTCCCACCGATCAAGCTTGCAATTTTGGTCCAAGTCATGCCTATAACATATTTTAAATAATTAATTTTAATCTTTGTGCCTGTGTTTCATTTCATTCTGCCTGACGAAACTGAAACAATAACTGACTTTTTAAATGAGACATTCAAAATAAACGATTAATAAGTGCATTGCTATAATTAATTAAAATTATAATTTAAACAATTTAAAAAAAAACATATTTGATAAGAGTTGCACAATACAAATTGTACAGAGGCATTGGGGTATCAACTAACCTTTAAAATTTCCATTTTACTTGTATATTTCCAAGAAGATTATAAGTAAAAAATAGTCTACTTGCCTTACAAAAATATCCCTAAAACGAGTAAGCTCTTGTTCCGTAAAGGGGCTTTCATCTTCGACACATGAGGAATAATACCGAACCCCTGAAAGTTTATTGGGGCTGACCACATTTTTCAGGGCTTTCAAATTGCTACTTATCAGACCGAGCATGGCTGCCGGAGGTGTAAAGGATCTTATGTAAAATTGGCCACAGTGTATTGTGTCTTTTTGTGTGAGTGCTTGAATTCGTGAGTGAATACTCTGGTTCTTGAAATCCACATATGATTTATGAAAATTTCATATGTTTTCTATTGCTAATTATTTTCAAAGATAAAGCAATGTAAAAACTTCCTATTGAAAATTTACAGTTCAGATCCTTTCTCACACACCTTAAGCATTTAAAATTTATTTACTTAATGTTGTTGTTCGTAAAAAAACATTAAGTAAATTAGCAACAACATAAATTTTACAGTTCATTATAAAACAAGCTTATAAAAACAACAAAGATTTTTTTTTTTTTTTTTTTTTTTTGAGAGAACAAAGAGTGTAAGAAATATGGCACCCCGCTTGTTTATAGCGAAAATAAAAGGAGTTATATTGTTATAAATGTATACATAAATTTAAAAAAATTTATAAATAAAAAGGAAGAAACTTTTTTTAAAAAATGTATAAATAAAACATGAACTTATTAGAACAAACAAAATGTAACTTTGACGTTGTAAAAATTGTTTTTTTACTATGTGGCTACAATAAAACACTTATTATTATCACCTTTGGGATATCTAAACTAACACAAGATAAGGGAAGACCACGGATGCAGGGACAACTATTTCAAGGAAATCTTGTTTGGTCTTATTAGGTCAATAGAATATTAAATATTATATTAAATATATATATACTTTTTTTTGGGGGGGGGGGGTTTACGCTGGCATATTACCCATGAAGTTTTCTATTTTCATTTTACTGTCGAGCGGGATCGGCCGACCAGGGCCAGGTCCCCGCCGCGCGCCCGCACCCACTCTTTCAGCTCCATCATCTTCTCATCTTCTAAATTTTCATGGTTGAAGATAATGAAAAAGAAACGTTTATCAACTTTAGAATTCCAAAGATTATGTTGAAAGCTGATGAATTGTTGCTTATTAGGACAGATTCTAAGTTTATTGGTTTGGAAATGTTTGGGACTTTGCTCAGATTTTTCAGCAGTTTGTCTCTTTCATTTTCATATTCTGGACATTCAAAAATTATGTGGGAAGGTTTTGAAGGGCAATTGCAAGTGGGACAGTTCGGAGACGATGCCAAACCGATTCTCCTCTTGTAGCTACCCGATAGGCCATGATTTGTCTTCAGTCTAAAAATAGTAGAATAGAACTCCTTTGACATTCCTTCTGGGCTTTCGCCTTCCGAAACACATGGTTTTTTTCTTGAGCTCAGGGAACAGTGACCTGTAATAATTGCCAACATTTGATGCGTTGTATTTTTCTTGCCACAGATTTCTACAAAACTTTTCCAAAAAGTTTTTCCCGTCATCTTTAGGAATTTTAATGTCAAAGGTTGGACCTGATGTTGCAGCCTCCTTTGCAAGTGCGTCCACAGTTTCATTTTGCCATAAGCCTGCATGCCCTTTCACCCAACACAATGCCACCCTTTTTCCCATGATTTTTGTCTCAAGCATTTTCCTACAGATTTGCGCAAAAATATAGTTTCTGCATTTATATTCTGTGGTAATGTTATTTATCCTTTCTACAATGCTTGCAAATTGTTAAAAATAATACTTTTATAACTTAAGGTTTTCATTGATTACTTTAAATATAACATTTATTTTCACTATTTTATAAGTTTTTTCTTTTATTACATTTTCAACAAAAGTATACTTTTTTTTAACAAAATAGAAAATATTATATTTGTAATATACTTATTCAACTAAGATCTAACTTAATCACAGGAAATGGTAAGCGGTTCTGTGAGATGCAATTAAGTTTTTTACATGAACATCATGTCCTCAGCAAAGCGCTTCTTACAACCAATGTTTTAGGACATGCAATGATGGTCTCCAAGATAAAGTCCAATATTTTTGGTGTTGGTCCAATATTTTTCATGATCACCTTGACCTGTAATGTTTTCCATCAGATGTATCAAGTATGTCGAGTTTAAACTACTTAAATTACTTTTTTTGAATAAATAAAAACCCATGAGTGGAGACAAACCCAGTAAGTGACCCTGTTCAGGTTCAACATGAATTCATCGATTCACAGACCAAAACCCATCCAATTTATGAAGTAGATCCTTTTTCATCATCATGGCATCTCATGGTTTCCATTAATTGTATAATAATTTTTGGGTAATTATATTATAATAAATAAAATAGGTGTAAACACAACTTGAATACTTGTATGTTTTTAATGGTCACTATGGCATCTCATTGTTTCCATTAGTTATGTCAAATATGTCAGCTTTAAACATAACTTGAATACTCTATGTTTTTCATGATCACCATGGCATCTATTGGTTTCCATCATTTATAACATACTTGTCAGGTTTACACGTAACTTGACTATTTGGACATTTTTCATCATCATCATGGCATCTCGTCAGTTATATCAGATGTGTCAGGTTTAAACATATGTTATTGATATGGTTTGGTAAAAAAGGATACTAGGAAGCGGGGTTTGCTTTGCGCTCCCCAGGCACTGCAGCCTTCTGGCTTATTGTACCTTCCTAGTTCCTTAGTTCAGTCAATAGACTCAATCCTTCTCCTTAGAAGTATCAGGTCATTGACTGTCGCTGCAGCAATTTGATTCCCTAAGTTTTTTCCGTACGTTAGGTTCAATCTCCATTGAGCTGTTGCTTCGCATTCGAAGATGATATGAGTGGCTGTTTCCTCCTCCTCATTACATAATCTGCAAATGGGATCATCGCTGTATATTGGGTTGTCCGGAAAATAATGCAGGATTTTAAGTTTTCATTAAAAAAAATCTATATAAAATATTCTGTTTACGTTTACAGGATTACTCATTTGTATGAATGTCNGGGAAATTATTTTGATTAAAGAACATTGCTTTAAAGTAACTAGTTTCTTTTTTTTTGTTTAATACCAAAATCCTGCATTATTTTCCGGACAACCCAATATATCCATGTTGTGTAGGTATTTTCTCAGATGCCAGTGACCGGTTAGTAGACCTACCACTCCTTTGAGTTTGGCCCTCTTCAATTGAAGCAGTGTTCTTCCCAGTCTTGGTGAGAGTTGTTTCACCATAAGTTTACTATGTCTAGCACTGTTAGAAATTATCCAGTTCTCCTTTTGTTTTGTTTGGATCCATTCTGCGATGGAGGATTCTATATTTGTTTTTGTTATCCCAAGAATAGGTTCAGGGCCTATGTATGGTCTTGCAGATCCTCCTCTGGCCAGACTGTCTGCTTTGTCGTTTCCCAAAATTCCCCTGTGCCCTGGCACCCAATATATCATCAGGTTGTTGTGTTTCCCCAGGTTTTAGAGATTTTGGATGCATTCACTGACTTATTTTGATGTGATTCTTTTACATGCTAATGCTTTAATGGCTGCTTGGCTATCAAATCTTATGAAGATTTTTTGCCAGTGTAACCTCTTTTAAGATTTTCCAGGGCACAAGCTTTGATGGCTGTATTTCCGCTTGAAAGACCAAAGTGTACTTCCTTAATGAGTTTGATTGCTCATGTTTGGGCTTGTACGGAAAACGCCTGATCCGGTTCCTTCGTTTGTTTTGGAGCCATCTGTGTACCATATCATTGTATCTGATGCTCCCCTGTGTTCTTTTTCTCCTTTATAGTCCATTGAGACATTATAGGAAGTTGTGAAGATTGTTTCTGGGATCATACAATCAGTCCCCATTTCTAATAATGGGTGTCTGATTTTGTTGATTATGGTTGTATGCCCGAATTGTTTAGTTCCTTTCCAATTTAATTGTTGCTGGAGCCTAAGTGAGCTACTTGCCTCTCCTTGTATGAATATTAACAATGGAGGTAGGTTTAGCAAAGTTTCTAATGCGTTTGTAGGGGTTGTTCTCATTGCCCCTGTGATACATAGGTTTGCTAGTCTTTCCGTGCACAGTATTTCCTAGGATGCTTTCTTTTCCAGTCCATCCACATTCGTCGTACTCCTTACATCATCCATCCAATCCCTCCAATTCAACTCCTCACATCACACTCGTAAGACCTGCTCATCCCCAATCGACCTTATCCTTCCACAACATACAACCCATACCTTTGAAAGATCCTTTCTGATCTGAGTCCCTAAACTCTGGAACTCCCTTCCCCTTTCTATCCGTCACGCTGCCTCCTTTTCCTCCTTTAAATCCCACCTGTATAACCACCTCCTCTCCCTCCAAGCAGAGACCTCACGTTAACATTTGTTATTTTTGTTTAATATTATCGTAATTTTTTCTTCTGTCCTGCCTTATTGGTATACATTGTGCCAAGATTTCTATCTTTTTTTTTTACTTTTAACTTCATAGAAGGAACTTCCTTTATTTATTTCATGTAAATTATTCTTAGGGGACATCAGTCCCAGAATAAAGTTATTTTTCTTCTTCTTTTTCTCCTCCTTCTCTTCCTTCCTCTCCTTCTCCTTCTTCTCCTTCTTCTTTGTATGCTGCCTAATGTTTGGGTAGCTACTTTTTGTTGAGCTTTGTTCCACCAGATTAATGATCCATAGGTTATACTGGGCCTTATTACTGCCGTGTATAGCCAATAGGCCAGGGTTTAAACATAACTTGAATACTCGTATGTTTTTTATGGTCACCGTGGCATCTCATAGTTTCCATCATTAACATTAAACCTGCCAGGTTTAAACATAACTAGACTACCTGGACCTTTTTCATGATCATCATGGTATCTCATGGTTTCTATCAGATATATAACATATGTTTTGCTTAAACATAACTTGTCTACATACCTATCCATTTTTCATGAAAACCATGGTAATATCAATGTTATCATATTGACATGATACCTTGAGGTCATACCAACTGTATTAGGTTGTGGCATACATGTCCCTTTTTCACCAATACCGCAGTCTCTCCTCGAACTGACAACTATATCCAATATTTCTGGTTGCGATGTTCATCAGACAACATTTTGTTCATGTAAATGTTAAGTATTTGGATGTAAAATATAAGTTTGTAACATTTTTTCAATAATTCAACAGTTAACAATCCAATTTTAACAAATACAATTAAATTAACAGGAGATGATTTCTTTACAAATTAAAATAAATTATAACAACGATTCTTATGTAATATTTTCTGTTATTAAATATTAAATATAAATATTAATAGTCAAAAAGTTGTTAAAATCACTATTTCAAAAATTTATTCATTTCTTAGTCTGACACAACTGTGGTGGAGACTCTCTACAAAAACAAGTCAAGTTTGGAAGCTATTTTCAGAATTATCGACAAAGACAATTCAGGTAAAATTATCACTTTATTAAGTTAGAATTTTAAAAAGGTCCAATTTGTTTGTTTAAACACAGGATACATATCCGTCGAAGAGTTCAAAGATGCCTGCCAGCTCATAGGAGAGCATCTAGACCAGTCCACCGAAACGGCGGTGGACATATGCAAGAGCATGGACATGAACAAGGACGGTCTCGTCGATTTGAACGAATTCCTAGAAACATTCCGTCTGGTTGAAAGCCAGCATTCGATAGAGTTAGAATCCGAAGAAGAGGATTAGATAAAAGAAAAAAAAAAGAAAAATGTCCATTGTTTTATTTATTCATGAGAAAATATGCTAAACTGTTTCTCAAGGTTTTACATATCTCAATAATATTGCTATGTTGTTGAATGAGAATAGAAGGAAAACTTTTTGATTGTTTATACTATCGCATATCTTGATTTTGTAATGAAAATTAAAGAGAGAAAGAAAAAAAAACACGGTTGTCTAATTGCTACTATTGTGATCTCAGTGCAATGCCAAAAAAAATATTTATGCACCCAATGCATTAATTAATTTTTAATTTAATTTTTTTTAAACTAAAGATTGTTAGTTGTAGCTGGTAAGTTTCATATAAATAGAAAAATAAAACTAGATGATTTTTTGATATACTAAATGCTACATTTTCATGTCAAGGTCTTGGCAAATACCCTGGCTGCACTTTTTAACTAAATTCAAAATCTGATTTTCACGTCATTCGTGCAATTTGTCTTCACATTACAATTATGGAATAAACAAATTACAATAAATGAATCCTTTCCATTTGCTTAAAGCATAAACTGGAAATATTACTTTTTATTTATTTAATTCACTAATTTCGTGGTCCGCTTGACCAATTAATATATTACAATTAATTAAAGTTTTAGTTGTGATAAAAAAGTCAATGGCTCGAGCGGGATTCGAACCGATGAACTTCGGCTAGATACGCCACTCCACCACTTGAGCTATCGTGACCTTGATCCACTCGGACACCAACTTCCAATCTCAAGTGGTAGAGCAGCGGCATATCTAGCTGAAGATCGTGCGTTCGAATCCCGCTCGTGCCACTGACTTTTTTATCTCAACTAAAAACCTTAATTAATTGTAATTTATTTATTTTAATTCAATTATGGCCACAGTGAAAATCATAAAATTAGAAATGGAACATTATATATTTTACTGAAAATAAACATACATGTGGAGATTGTTAAATAAAGATACAGAAGATATATAATTTCTTCAAATATTATATCAAAATACACTTTTTGGTCTTTATAAAAAATTTACAGAGTTATTCAAATGATGAAGGAAGAATTATTTGTATTTCTATTAAATAATATTTGCTTTATAATAATAAAATACCACACCATAAATATATATTTCAATAAATATTAATTAAGGGTTTGTGCAACTATGATAATAATAATAATTATTATTATTAGACTATATTTCAAGGTTTTTTCTTTAATCGAGTAGTTTATTATGATTCATTTCTCTTTTCGAATTATTATATTACGCTTAATATAACAATAACATGCTCCTTGGCAACATAATTTTGATATCATCAAGCCCTAAAAAAAGAGCACATTCCTAACTTGTAAAAAATTAAAATATTAAATTATAATTAAATAATTTCAATACGATAGAAAATTTGAGATTAGAAAATACTCAACACATTATTGTTTTTACTTTGTAAAAACTTACTCAAGTTTAAAGTATATGTAATGTATTGGGTAAATCTCAAAAAATAGGTATTTTTGTTCATTTTGTATTAAAGGGACCAGTGTAAAATATTTATTTAACTTCTTTATTTATTAGTAGCTATTTTGTTGTCTTTTCATACATTAAAGATCTCTTATTTTTTGTTTGTTTGAAATAAATAAAATAGTTGTTTTTTTTACACTAGTCATTGTGGTTGTTTTTAGTGAAAATATATTCTAGCTCAATATTGTTTGTAATGGAGTTGTTTTTATTACAATTGTGTAGAGATGGTTTTTTTTATAAGTGTAAAAAAATAACAGTTTTATATAATTAGAAGGTTTATTTATACTGTTATTTTCTTGTTATCTCTCTTTGAACTTCTCATTACCATTTTTGAAAGTTTACCTTTACTTGAAAGTTTACATGAGACATGTAATCAAAGTGAGAAGAAATTAAGCATCGATGCATGTATTGCTTAAATGGATTTGTAAGTATTTATTCTTAATTAAATTGTAAAAAAAATTAAATGTCATAATTTACGGTTAAATTATTGTAATGACATTACCATTCAAAAAATACAACCTAAAGTGATAAATTTTGAGAGTGACATTTTTTTAAATAAATATCCTTTCTTTTTTACATTTATATCTTCAAATCTAAGTTATGGATTGTAATAACTATTTTTAATTGTTATTTTTTATACAAAACTTTGTACTGAATTTTATAAGAGTGAGGACCTGCGAAATTAAATATGTCTAAACTATATTTTCGTCAAATTTATTGGTACGAATTTACAATTGGGCAAAGTGCTGCCCAATCCGCGAGTGACATCAATACAGTTCGGAGGGAGGGAAGCATTAGCGAATGCACGGTGCAGCGATAGTTTTGGAGATTTCGATCTCGAAGACAGGGAAGACAGCACGGGAAATTGCGGAAGGGCTTAGTGTTGGCCAATCAACCGTTGTTTGCAATCTGAAGGAAATTGGTAAAGTAAAGAAGCTCGACAAGTTGGTAGCGCACGAACTAACCAAAGCCCAAAGAAATCGGCGCTTTGAAATTTTCCCGTCTCTTCTATTGCGCCACCAAAATGATCCATTTCTCGATCGAATCACACGTACGATGAGAAATGGATTCTGTGTGATAACAGAGGGCGTACAGGTCCAGTAGTTGGACAAGGATGAAACGACAAAACACTTCCCCAAATCAAATCTTCACCCAAAAAAAGTTATGGCGACTATTTGGTGTTGTTCTGCTGGGTTCCTGAATTATAGAGAAACTATCACAGCAGAGAAAAATTGTCAAGAAATTGACAAAATGCACGGAAACTGCAACGTCTTTGTTGCATAGGTAAACCGTAAGGGGCAGGATTCTTCTTCACGACAACGCAATGCCAATCCTGCGGAAACTTAAGGATACGAAATCTTACTGCACCTTCCATGTTCACCCGAACTCTCGCCTACAAACGTCCACTTTTTAGGCATCTTGATCACTTCTTGAGTGATAAAATTTTTAGAGAACGCGGTGAAGCCGAAAAGGCCTTCCAAGACTTTATTTTTTCATTTATTTTTTATTTATTTATTTATTTTTTTGAGTGGGGCTTCCGACATCTAGGTCACTTCAGCCCCCGGCTAAGTCTATATTCTATTTACACTTTCAAACACTACATTCATACAAATAAATACATTCAAACAATACACTCATTCCGTTTGGTCGGTGGAGTACCTGATATTCCTCCACCGACCTACACTCAAACTAATCTAGATTGGGGTCGATGGAGTTCTTTTATAAATATTCCGCCATCGACCCCGAACACACACTCATCCGCTCTCAACGTTCGAGGGGCGATGATGACGTTATATTTCACCCTCACCCCTCGCCATTCACGCTAATAAATACATGCACTCAGACAAAACACATAGACACACAACATATAAGACATATTATATACAATAAAAAAACCCAATTTCCCCTAAAAAGCGGAACAGGGGACTGAAACTCGCTGCAGTGCTTGAGTACCATCTTCAGATTGGATGGCATGCCTACACGCTCCCTGTATGGAGCCAAGGCATGACATGTTTCCAGTATGTGGGACACATCGAGCAACCTTTCTCTGCATAAGGGGCACCTGCGCGGGCTTTGGCCCAAGAGCAGGTGCCCGTGTGTCAACCGCGTATGGCCTATTCTTAATCGCATAAGGACGATTCCTTGTTTCCGGCTCAGGTTCTGGGGGGCCATCTACGAATCGTGCTCTTGTCGCGCAAAAGCCTCTCGGACGACCCGGCTCTCCAAGACTTTATTGTTAATCGAAATAAAGATTTTTTTGTGTCAGCGTAGTAAAAGCGCTTGACAAAGAAGTATAGATTCTAATGAAAAATATTTCGAATAAATTTTCTTTATTCTATAAAAATTAAAAATAGTTTGGACTGCCTTTTCAAAACTTGCATGATTTTTGTACCAGCCCACAGTACTCCTCACACATGCTGATACCGCCATCCTTTCAGTGAACCGTGACCCAGTCCTTCAAAAACCTCCAGGACCGTCTCTTCTGTTTGGTAAAATGATTCAGGAAGATCAGAATTGACAAAACCAAATCCAAGCAAATTGCTTTTACCTTTCTCCGATCTACACCTCTGTTCATCCTTTATTTCGAAATGTGTGGTGTTTAGTGACCGTTAGTTAATGATTATTTTGAGATCGTGAGATGCGGTCTGGTGTGACGTAGGTTTCAGAAAAACGTTTTTTTATCGTGCCAACGTTTCGAACTTTATTGAGATCATCTTCAGGGCCTGGGATTTATAAACATATAAGTGATTTATAAACATTGTTTAAATTAAACAAATACATGTAGGATGTGAAAAAAAGTAAATTTATACAATGCTAGAAATTTTAGACTCAATCAAAGTATTTGTACTCACACAAAGTGTTTGTTTTCTGTGTAGATGTGCCATTATTGGTGTCGTGTTAAGAGTGCCAGTGACATATTGATGTTTTATGCTTATATATGTTGGATTTTGAAGAGGTGGGGAAGGAAGTTGGGACAGAAAATTTTTTATATGAGGAGCCGGCTTCTTTGAGCTGAACGGAGCCAACAATGGGAAAAAATGGGGAATGGTTCGGTGTGATTATCCTTTCAGGATTATATAGGCAGGGATAATTAAGGAAAGGAAAGCTAAATTTATGAAAAATTAGACTATGTAGAAATGTTTGATGTGAGAAATGTAATAATTGTTTTATATGTTATGTTTTGTGTGATTTGATGAGGATATATGTATGTTATTGATATAGAATTTGATTAATGATATTGGCGTAGCTGCGACTGAGTTTACATGTATCTGTTCTGTAATCCCAGGCCCTGAAGATGATCTCAATGAAGATCGAAACGTTGGCACGATAAAGAAAATATTTTTTTAAGAACTACGACACACCAGACCGCATCTCACGATCTCCAAATAATCTTTATTTCGAAATTTGCATCGACAAAAGTCTCACTTGGAACCCTCACACTCGACTCAAAGAATAGAACTGATCAGACTATAAACTCCTCAAAAAATCGACTTAATCAATCTGGACTTATGAAATTGAACTGAGGGTTTCATCCACCTATACAGAATTCAGCCTCTCCAGTCCAAAATCCTTTGAACCATTACCCAAGCGTCTTGTTTCTTATCCAACCTTAGCATCCACACAGACCTTCAAACTGCAAGAAGTCAATACAGATTCTTAAGGGGCGTCGGTGGACGTAACTGTTTAGGCGTTGACACGGCGTTCATCACAGTAAGGTCCGGGGTTCAAATCCAGCGGCCCTGCATTTGAACCCGACATACTTACAAATGGGCTTTTTTTCAAAAACACCCCTGAGGGTTTATACGACCTCTGCTGTTGCGAACCCTCGTTAAAAAAATAAATAAATAAAATAAATATAGACTTCTTCATAAAACCCAGGACCCTCATAAGCTAAAAAAATATGTTGATCTTTTGTCCTCCTATCTTTTAGAAAGACTGTTCCAAATTAAACTGCAAGAGCTGCAAAAAATCAGAGTTGTTTGAAATCTAGGCTGGCATTGCCAAATTCTCTCAGTAGGGAAGATGTGAATAATAATAATAATAATAATAATAATAATAATAAGGCCTATACTGGCCATTGCTTACCACCCAAT